GGCTTTATAGGCTAAAGCCAGCACCTTAAATTGTGCTCGGTAGCAAATTGGCAGCCAGTGGAGCTGGTTCAATAGGGGGGTGGGATTTATAGTTCCTCTGCCATCAGAGAGTATTCTGAACTCCAACAAAAATGGAATTGAAGAAGCTTGGCATACAGAACTCCCATAACCAACAGAAATTACTGGAGTTGCAGTACCCCCCACAATCAATCAGCATTCTGAACCCCACAAATATAGAATTTGACCCACCCAGCTTGCAATCCATAACTCCCATGACCAACAGACAACACAGAGGTTTGGGGGAAATACATTCAGAGATGTGGGAGTTGCAGTACTTCCTGCAGCAATGAATGAGCATTCTGAACCCCACAAATATAGAATTTAACCAAACTTGGCAAAAAGAGCCCTCCATGGCCAGCAAAAAATACTGGAGGTCTTTAGGGGAAATACACCCTTGATTTGGGGAAGTTGTCGTTGACCTATATCCAGAGAGAACTATGAACCCAAACACCAATGGATCTGCACCAAACTTGTCACACATACCTGTTATGCTGACACTGAATTACTGGAGGGCTTTCCAGGAGCTGTAGTTTCTCAAACTGGGGTTGTGACCCCTGTAGGTTCTGATCCCAACTGGTGGCAAGGGACAGGCGGCTAGACTGCGTGCAGAGCTATTCGTCCACCCCTCACCTCCATCCGCGGAGCCACTCGCCCGTTGCTCACCTCTTTCTGCCATCAGAAGGAGGCGAGGGACGGGTGGATGGCTTCACGCGTGGGAGTGCCAGTGGCTCAGGGGGTCGGCCGCCATTTTGGAGGGGGCATGGCCAGTTAATGCCGCTTCGCGACCCCCAGAAAATGGCCGAATGACCCCCAAGGGGTCGCGACCCCCAGGTTGAGAACCGCTGTCCTAGATGGTTCATAAGGAGAGATACGTTTTGATAGGCAAGCCGGACCAGAACCGTTCAGGGCTTTATAGGAATTGTGCCTGGTAGCAGACTGGCAGCCAGTGGAGCTGGTGCAACAGAGGGGTCGTGTGCTCCCTGAGCACCACTCCTGTTAGCAACTTGGCTTCTGCTTGTAGGACCATTTGGAGCTTCCAGACAGTCTTCAAAGGCAACCCCACGTAGAGAGCATTGCAGTAGTCTATACGGGATGTAACCAGACTACTGTGGCCAAGTCAGACTTCCCAAGGTACAGGCGTAGCTGGTGCACAAGTTTTAATTGTGCAAAGAGTTGGAGGGATGGGCGTTGGTGCTCAGCTGTGGAGGCTAAGCCAGCTGATAGTGATGAGGATGGGGTGAAGGGCAGCCCATCATCGGATGATGAGCTGTAAGATAAATGAAGGCACTAGAATGATGGAACTTTGCAGTAGGCAAAGTGTTGGTTTCATGCCTTGGGTCTTGTCGCTGCCACTTTCTTGTTGGCCTTGGGTCCTGGATCTGCAGGTTGCTGCTTGCTTCATGTACCGACTGGTTTGGATTCTCGTAAGTGTGGATTTCCCCTCTCCTTGACTTCGGACTGTTTTTGACAACGACACTGCCTTGTGGACTTTGGAACTTTCAACTAGGATTCCTTCGACTTTGGATTCTCGTAAGTGCCGAAACCTGAGATTCCAGGCTCAACGATGAGTCCAGGATCACACCCAAGCTGCGAACCTGTGTCTTTCACTTTCCTGGACCACAACCCAGAATCCCAGCCAGAAGCTATGCTACCTAAGGGATTCTGGGAGTTTGCCATCTCAAAACCAAAGTTTCCAAGCTTGTGGTCTAGTGACAACTGCGTAGTCTACGATGCTTACTTATGAGGATCAACCAAGGTCCTCGTAGATTCTGGAATATCTTTTGCACAAGCTGGATCTGAACTAACAAAGCATCGGTGAGAGACAACCACGGGGGAGCATCCCCTCCTCTTCCTGACCCGTTCTTGCTGTGGATCTCAACCTCCTGGGAGAGAGAGTTGGCCTTCCTCCTTGCTTTGTCAAACACAAAGATACATTAATGTTGCCACATGAATTATGCACAAGGAGCTACCGATGGAAAGATGACAGCCTGAAGTGGGTTCCAAGGCTTTTTGTGAAACATGCAAGAAATAATATCCCAGGACCATTCGAGTCACTGAGCGCTGACGTCGCTGCAAATAACAGTCATCTAAGCGGATTCTGGAAAGCTTTCTTGCATTTGTGCCACGAATTCAGCAGGAAAGGGCCGTATCAACCAATGCTTGAGCCTCCAAATCCAAGCTATTTCCCAACTCTGGCTTTGGCTTTGGCCATAAGTGAGGTTTTAGAGAAAGAAGAAAAGCCTTTTAATGTTGGAGTTCAGCCTGTGATTGTGTTTCAGGATCGGGGTGCTTTGGATGTGGGGAGTGATGTAAATGAGGTTCAAGATTGCAATGGTTTGGTCAGTGATATTGATGCAGAGAATGACAGAGAGGCACTTGTCCAAAGTGTAGTTTCCCATGAGAATGTTCCTACAGGGTATAGGGATGAAGGTTTACTCCCTGAATTGCTCTCAGAGAGTTCCCAGGATTTGGGGCTTGAAAACAACTCGGCACCTGCAGAAACTAATTTATTTATTTATTTATTTATTATTTTTATTTATTTGACTTGTATACCGCTACCCCAATTTGGCTCAGAGCGGTTTACATCAGTAGATTAAAACAATACAATGAACTTTAAAATACAATAAAACAAGACCAGGCATAGTCCCGAGTTATTCATGAGCATATAGATAGGTGGGCAGAAATTAGTCAAAACAGACAGGCCGAGCAATGCCTTCGGCGTTCTGCCAGGCTTCAACAGAAAAAGATAAGAGATCCTCAAGAAAAGCAAAATCAGTTTCTGAGTGCTTGGAAAGGCTTAAAAGTTCCAAGCATGGAAAATACGATCAGATGAAGCATGCTAAACTCTTGTCCTCATCTTAGAAAAGCCTTGCTTTGAAGATTCATGCTTAAGGATTTCTTGTTTCCTAGTTTGGTTTTTTGTCTCTCGCGATTATCTGCTCATTCCTTGGATCAACGTTCTTTGGATTTTGCTAGAGAGTTGTGGACTTTGTTTTTGGGCATTATTGAACTCTACCTTGGACCAATTTGTTCCTGCTTATCTTTTTACCTAATTGGATTTACCTATTCCTTCAAAGTGTTTCTTTACTTTGCTGCTTTTACTTATCTTCAATAAAAGGATTGTTTTCATGCTAAGTTCTTGTTTACTTTGCTGTTTTTACTTATCTTCAATAAAAGGATTGTTTTCATGCTAAGTTCTTGTCCTCATCTTAGAGAAGCCTTGCTTTGAAGATTCATGCTTAAGGATTTCTTGTTTCCTAGTTTGGTTTTTTGTCTCTCGCGATTATCGGCTCATTCCTTGGATCAACATTCTTTGGATTATGCTAAAGAGTTGTGGACTTTGTTTTTGGGCATTGCTGAACTCTACCTTGGACTAATTTGTTCCTGCTTATCTTTTTACCTAATTGGATTTAGCTATTCCTTTAAAGTGTTTCTTTACTTTGCAGTTTTTACTTATCTTCAATAAAAGGATTGTTTTCCTATTCCTGGTTTTTTGGATTTTGCTAGAGACTTGTGGACTTTGTTTTTGGGCATTGCTGAACTCTACCTTGGACCAATTTGTTCCTGCTTATCTTTTTACCTAATTGGATTTACCTATTCCTTTAAAGTGTTTCTTTACTTTGCTGTTTTTACTTATCTTCAATAAAAGGATTGTTTTCATGCTAAGTTCTTGTCCTCGTCTTAGAGAAGCCTTGCTTTGAAGATTCATGCTTAAGGATTTCTTGTTTCCTGGTTTGGTTGTTTGTCTCTTACGATTATCTGCTCATGCCTTGGATCAACGTTTCCTGGTTCTTTGGATTTTGTTAGAGAGTTGTGGACTTTTTTGGGGGGCATTGCTGAACTCTACCTTGGACCATCTGTGAGCTCAGTGCCTGTCAATTCCCAGGCTGGCCAGTCCCAGGATAATAAGTTATTCGGCCTTGAAGGTGATGGGGATTTAGTTAGGAAAGACTGTTTGCAATTAAGGGTACGTCGAAGTGCTCGGCTTGCTAACAAACGGGAAGGTCGAGGTCAACGTAATGCTTTCATGCTAGGAAAGCATATTTAATGATCTGATTGAAGTCAACCCTTTGTCAGTGCAACTTTGTTTACACCTTTTTAACTTCTCTGGAATTGCCTTGGCTTTTGGGGAAAGCTTTTGGCTTTTTGGGACCTTGGTTTTGATCTTGATTTCTGGGGACTTTGTTATGCCATGGATTCTTGTTTGACCAATGCTTGTGGACTTATGAGGATCAACCAAGGTCCTCGTAGATTCTGGAATATCTTTTGCACAAGCTGGATCTGAACTAACAAAGCATCAGCAAGAGACAACCACGGGGGAGCATCTCCTCCATGCTATTTGCCTTTGGACCTTGGAATCTCTGCTTTTGCATTTAAGGCTCTATTTTGGCTATTGAACTTTTGCAACCTTCCATGTTTATGATTTTGCTTTCTCTTCGGTAAACTACAAAACCTACAGCCTTAGTGTGTGGTGTGGTTCTGAGCAAGGTGAATCTATCCTGAGTTGCGACAGTAAACAAACAAACAAATAAATAAATAAACACTGGTTGGCATTGTGCCCGAAATGTGCAACAGAGTTCTCAGAAAGGAATAGTGACCATTTCCTACCTGAGAGATGACGGCTCTTTGCAAGGCCGGGGTGCATGGGCTGGAGCTACTTCCGGATCCGAGTCTAGCGTGAGAGGAGTCCTCATTCCCAAGCACAGCCGCCCAGCTGAGATCGCCTTGGACTGAGTCACTCTTCTTCCATTTGCTCTCCGTCTGGAGACAAACACACCAAGACAGATGCTTAGCAAGGTTCAATACTGATACTGTAGAAAGGTCGGAGATTTACTTGTATTCGAGTCACTTAAATAGAGCTACTGTGTCGATAAGGCACCGGTTTCTATTAAGTTTCCTTGCTGGCTTTAGAAAAGCAGATTAAATCAGCAACATTGAATTTCTGCTAAGAGCAATACGGAACTGTCAGGGGAATTGTATATGCTTTCACAGTGGAGGATCTTTTCTCTGTGTGTGCATGCAATGTACTTGAGTCTCTTTTAAGGTCATATAATCCAGATTATCAAGGCGAATAATCCACATCCGTGACTCAAATGATCAAGGGTCTGGAGAACAAGCCCTAGGAGGAGCGGCTTAAAGAGCTGGGCATGTTTAGCCTGAAGAAGAGGAGGCTGAGACATGATGAGGGCCATGTATAAATATGTGAGAGGAAGTCATAGGGAACAACGGAAAATACTGCATATACTGTTGTGAGTTTTTCGGGCTATACGGCCATGTTCCAGAAGCATTCTCTCCTGACATTTTGCCTGTTATCTCTGGCAGGCATCCTCAGACACCCTTTGACAAAATACTGTATTTAGCATTTTTTATTGTTTTGTTTACATATATCCTTCAATAAACTGCTTGCTAATTTTACTAGGCAAAACGTCAGGAGAGAATGCTTCTGGAACATGGCCATACAGCCCGAAAAACTCACAACAGTGATTCCAGCCATGAAAGCCTTTGACAAAATACTGTATTTAGCATTTTTATTGCTTTGTTTGCATATATCCTTCAATAAACTGCTTGCTAATTTTACTAGGCGAAACGTCAGGAGAGAATGCTTCTGGAACATGGCCGTCCAGCCCGAAAAACTTACAACAGTGATTCCAGCCATGAAAGCCTTTGACAAAATATTGTATTTAGCATTTTTATTGCTTTGCTTACATATATCCTTCAATAAACTGCTTGCTAATTTTACTAGGCAAAATGTCAGGAGAGAATACTTCTAGAACACGGCCATATAGCCCGAAAAACCTACAACAACCCGGTGATTCTGGCCATGAACTCCTTTAACAATACAGAAAATACTGCGTTTCTTATGGTTTTTAGCGACCCCTTTGTGACCCCCCCCGAGGGGTTCCGGCCCCAGGTTGAGAAACGCTGCATTAGTACAACTACTTATCGATAAAAACTGTTAAAAAAGTAACCGAAAGGCTGCAGGTTCAATTCCGGGGAGCGGCGTGAGCTTCCGCTGTCAGCTCCAGCTTCTGCCAACCTAGCAGTTCGAAAACATGCAAATGTGAGTAGATCAATAGGTACTGCTCCGGAGGGAAGGTAATTTATTTATTTATTTATTTATTTGGTGTACTTCTACCCCACCCTTCTCAACCCCCGAGGGGGGACTCAGGGCGGCTTAAAAACAGGCACAATTTGATGCCCAATAGCCAATCTCAAGCACAGCGTTCGCCAACTCAGAGTCCATACTTCGTTCCACATTGTCTATTCCTATCCATAGTCGCAGTCCTTTATTTATCTGCCAGATTGCCCAAACGCCTGGTCCCAAATCCATGTATTTAATTTCCTTCTAAAGGAAAGGAGGGATGTCGATGATCTAATTTCCCTGGGGAGTGAATTCCATAGGTGAGGGGCCACCACCGAGAAGGCCCTGCTCCTCTTCCTCGCCAATCTCACTTGTGACAGAGGCGGGGCCGAGAGCAGGTGTTGGGGTTCAGCCTGAGTTTGAACTTGAACCTGATTCTCTGTTTGTTCCTCCTGATGCTAATGAAAATATATTTACTGATGCTAATGAAAATGTACCTCTTGATGCCAATGCTCCTGAAATTAGTGAGGAAGGAACTTCTGTAGATTTGGAAAATGAAAGTACCAGTGTTCAAGGGAAGCCATGACCTTTCACTCCCTTCTGCACCTGGTAACTTTAATGAGAACAGAAGGGGGCAGATTTGGCAAGACAGAAGTAAATCACTCAGCTTGCGAAGGTCTTCCCGATTAAAAGAAATACAAACAACGGCTTCAAAGCAGAGGGGCGGTTCATGGAACCAATTCTTCGGCTTTAAGTGCTTTCCGCCAGGCTGACTTTCTCAGTTCAGGCATCGTTTGATTGATGAAGACCTTGGCAGTTCTCCCGGTTTCCTTGGCCATCATCTTGAAAGATTTCTAGGATATCAAGTACGGTTAGTAGATTGCTAACAGGTTCCAGTATTTTACAGTGTGGCTTTGGGTTTTATTTTTGTCCATTTAAATTCATGTTTGCTGCTTTTGCTGTGGCTTTTGACTTGCATTTTTCCTTTTTGTAACCACTTTTCTTCAATAAAAAAGGATTGTTTTTCACAGTCAAGTGTGGTGGATAGTTATCTTAGGGCCTCGTTTCCTGCTCTGGATTGCAACAGCAGGGCCTCCCCAGAGAATCTCAAACTCCGAGGTGGGACGTAGAGGGAGATCCGTTTGGACAGATACGCTGGGCCGGAACCGTATAGGGTTTTGTAGGTCAAAACCAGCACTTTGAATTGTGCTCGGAACTGGATCGGCAGTCAGTGGAGCTGGCATAACAGAGGGGTGGTATGCTCCCTGTATGACGCTCCGGTGAGCAATCTGGCTGCCTCCCGCCGGACTAATTGAAGTTTCCGAACAGTCTTCAAAGGCAACCCCACGTAGAGTGCATTGCAGTAATCTAATCGGGATGTAACAAGAGCGTGGACCACCGTGGCCAGATCCGACTTCCCAAGGTACGGGCGCAGCTGGTGCACAAGTTTTAATTGTGCAAAAGCTCTCCCGGCCACCGCCGAGACCTGGGGTTCCAGGTCCATACAGTCATGCTGGCCACATGACCTTGGAGGTGTCTACGGACAATGCCGGCTCTTCGGCTTAGCAATGGAGATGAGCACCAGAGTCCCAGAGTCGGAAATGACTGGACTTAATGTCAGGAGAAAACCTTTACCTTCACTACTAACAAAAAAATAGTTATACAGATCCTGTTTGGTTTCAGAAACACTTTAGAAATTTTGTAATGAGAGTTGAAACATTTTTTATTGATTGCACATTTTAATTCCCAGCCTTTTGCATCAGGACACAGTTATAATTACAAATGAATGTATTGCCAGAAGCACCAGAACAAAATTCCCCAAATGAATTGTAAGTCTGGAGCGCAGGCTTTGATTTTGCAAGTGATTTGGGTCCTTTCTGCATACATCACCAAATCGACAAATTGTTTCCAGGCTCAACACGGATATCTGATTTCCCTCTGGGGGGTTAATTGCAGTTCGACGCAAAAGGGGAGCTCTTCAAATCCCAACAGGATTCCTGTTAATATAACACCAGGAGATCCACCTAAATGACAGTGGCTTCAATAAGAAGTAATTATTCTTTCACAGGAGGGGAATTGTTTCGGCCCTTGTAAACCCACACACACATAGATCAACGTGAAGCCAATGGGATTAAAGAAACAGGGCGAGCCGAACGATCGCCGCGGCCGTACGGCGTTAAAAACACACAAGACACAACCATCAGCTGTGAGAGAAATTGCAGATTGATGTCAGCCTCAATTTGCTTCCTTTAAAAGCCCGTCTTTCCAACAGAGACTCGCCGCCTACCACTGCTAATGTCAAAAATCCACAACAGTACATTTGGATTAAAATTTAACAGTAATGGCATGGGCGAAGTTTGACAACGCTTTGTATTGCACTACAAAGAGGTCATTTACAGAATACATGCCACAGACGCGGACGACAATGGGAGCTGACATTTATGAAGCGGGCTTGCTCCTCTCCCCTAGTTCCATAGGCAAAACAGAAACTTAAATGTCAAGGCAAAGTTCCCAAGATCCAAAGGCAAAAACATGAGCATAATCCTTTAGCAATAGTCACACAAAGTCCATGGTAAAACAGTTGAAAACAAGACTCAAATCCCAGACTCAGGAAACCAAAAGCGTGCTGCGAAAAGCCAAGGAAAATCTCCCGAAGTTAACATGGGAAGAGCAATGTTGGACTGACAACAACTGCCTGACAGCGACAAGACTAAATACCCTTTGCGAAAAGAATACATGCCACAGACGCGGATGATGATGGGAGCTGACATTTATGAAGCGGGCTTGCTCCTCTCCCCTAGTTCCATAGGCAAAACAGAAACTTAAATGTCAAGGCAAAGTTCCCAAGATCCAAAGGCAAAAACATGAGCATAATCCTTTAGCAATGGTCACACAAAGTCCATGGTAAAACAGTTGAAAACAAGACTCAAATCCCAGACTCAGGAAGCCAAAAGCGTGCTGCGAAAAGCCAAGGAAAATCTCCAGAAGTTAACATGGGAAGAGCAATGTTGGACTGACAACAACTGCCTGACAGCGACAAGACTAAATACCCTTTGCGAAAAGAATACATGCCACAGACGCGGATGATGATGGGAGCTGACATTTATGAAGCGGGCTTGCTCCTCTCCCCTAGTTCCATAGGCAAAACAGAAACTTAAATGTCAAGGCAAAGTTCCCAAGATCCAAAGGCAAAAACATGAGCATAATCCTTTAGCAATGGTCACACAAAGTCCATGGTAAAACAGTTGAAAACAAGACTCAAATCCCAGACTCAGGAAGCCAAAAGCGTGCTGCGAAAAGCCAAGGAAAATCTCCAGAAGTTAACATGGGAAGAGCAATGTTGGACTGACAACAACTGCCTGACAGCTACAAGACTAAATACCCTTTGCGAAAAGAATACATGCCACAGACGCGGATGACGATGGGAGCTGACATTTATGAAGCGGGCTTGCTCCTCTCCCCTAGTTCCATAGGCAAAACAGAAACTTAAATGTCAAGGCAAAGTTCCCAAGATCCAAAGGCAAAAACATGAGCATAATCCTTTAGCAATGGTCACACAAAGTCCATGGTAAAACAGTTGAAAACAAGACTCAAATCCCAGACTCAGGAAGCCAAAAGCGTGCTGCGAAAAGCCAAGGAAAATCTCCAGAAGTTAACATGGGAAGAGCAATGTTGGACTGACAACAACTGCCTGTCAGCTACAAGACTAAATACCCTTTGCGAAAAGAATACATGCCACAGACGCGGATGACGATGGGAGCTGACATTTATGAAGCGGGCTTGCTCCTCTCCCCTAGTTCCATAGGCAAAACAGAGACTTAAATGTCAAGGCAAAGTTCCCAAGATCCAAAGGCAAAAACATGAGCATA